TATATCAGAAAGATTACGCACCGTTGATTTTTAAGTAATGGGAATGACGATGGCAAATTTCCAAGATTCTGGAAATACTCCTTTCAATATAGATTTATTGACTATCACCACTATCGTTATTAAAGTATATGAAAGCGTAAGTTTTAACATCAACTTGGAGATGCCATCAGTTTCAGACTTTTTACTAAAGTTTCATTTACGACTACTAATCGAAATTCCATTTTAGAGTGTATAAGTCATTTAATTTCTTGAATAACACTTTTGTCGGGAGGTGCACATGATATGCTGTTTATAAATACAGAATTAGTAATTCATTTATGGGGCAATCAATGTATGACGTATTACGCTTTTACAACAAAATCCCAGAAAATGTAATAAATTTGTCCTTAAACAAGTTTAAATGTTTTATTAAATAAAAATTGTAAAAAAAGGGTTATAATAATATAAATGAATTTATTAATGTAAATAACCCCTAGGAATGAGGTGATTGCCACCATGCTGGTTCTATAAAAATTCAAACAAAAATTGTACGAAATAAATTAAATATGTTTAAAAAAAGTCCCGTGGGGATTCTTGCTGGTTCTTCCCGGGACAGAGGTTTTTTTTGCGAACCAGTGGTTATGAAAAAATGACTTTCAATAAGCATTACACAATATTCTATATTGAATAAAAATCATTAATTTTATGTCATTTTGTTGAAGTGATTATCAAGTGAATCAGGGTCAAGAATATGGTCCGGTATTGAATGGTTTTTTACGGTAGGTGATATTATTCGTTTTATGTGACGTCTTACGTTGCCTTATTATTGTTGATAATCCTAGTACAATAAGTCTGCTTTTCTATAGTAACCGCTCAGTTATAATAGTTGCGCAGATTGCGGTAAAATTGCATACTAATTTCTGATTTTATAGCTTTGGTAGGGTGGCAAACCTTGTCACGAGTTGACTTCATTTCTCTTAGTGTATCAGTCATCCACGGAGTAGAAAGTAACAAAAGCGTTTAAGAGATTACGACACATTTTATTGTCATGTATAGCCCAAAACGAGATTGTACAACAATTGTGTTTCCAGTTATTTTTATATTATGCTGGCCGTATGAGTAAGCTCAAGGTCGCTCAAGGAGCTATGTAGAGGGCTATGCTCGGGTTTTTTTTTGCGTAACGAACGTAGAAATCAGGATAACTACAGTCGAACCGGAGTAACCGACATACCCCAATGAATTTGTGAGCTAAATAGGCAGGCTGTATAGCCCGAAGAGCCAATAACCGATAGAGAAGGTAGGTTCTCGAGTTGCAGCCTTGTTACGGTAGGTGAAGTGTAGGGCGACCCCCCACTAGATAGAGTGATGACCTGGTAAGACATGCGGGAAGTCGATGGATGCAGATGGCTCAGAACCGTGCTTTTTGGCATTCTTTGAGGGAGGCCTATGTTCAGCAGTGGATTTGTGAAGGGTGTAATTAATTGTGTAATATGACGTGTATAATTTTGTGCAAAAATGCTTTAATCACGAATCTTGGACTCTTCTTCGGCTTGTTCTGGAATCTCGGATCTTGATTCAATTTCATTCTAAAGTGGTTTAATTTTAATTAAAACGACAACTTCATAGTTCAAGCCTATTTATAAATTATTATCTTATAAAAATAAACGTCTGCTATAGGTAAGAAATCTTGTCTACCATATACTTGTAGTTCTTGGGATATAAATCTAAGCAGAGACAAGTTAAATACAGCATTTGAGAATTTAAAAAATGTAAATAAAATAGTCATAAAATTTTCATTATTTATGTTAATTTTTTAATTAATTAACATTAAAGTGATGTTTGATTTTTTATATTTTTTTTATTTTTAAAATAACAAACAAATGAAAATCAGAAAACAAATTAAATTCTGTGTTATTTAATAGCTATTTTTCTGTTATTAATTACGATATTATCTTGAATATAAATCATTCTTTAGAGACCAGAGAGTTTATTTCGACTTATATACGTCATTATCCAGATCGTGGTGAGGTCGTACGGTCTCTGTAGAGCAATAAACTTGATCATTGGCTTGGTTCTACGAGTAAAATGCAATAAATTTGTCTCTGTACAGAGCTATTGGGTACTATACCAGTAATAGGTGTATTATATCGTATTACTAACTTATATGAAGATCAGTCAGTAAATGAGAAACGTATTCTCATGGTTTTGTTTCAAATAAGGCAAATATTATAATAATTATTTTTCATGTTTATTAATACAAATTAGGCCATTTTTTTACGTTTTTTTATTTAGGTCATAACAGTAGTTAAAAATGTACAAGTGTTCATCGTCATTATCATTTAGACTCAAGCCAAGAAAACAAAAATAGTGTGACACTACTTGTAACTTTATTTTCTTGTTTATTATTTTTATTATTGTACTCACGCCGTGACCGAAATTCGGTCTGGAGGACATTATAGTAACGATATTACCAAAATCGTCATGTAATATACGGCTTACTTGAGTTCTAATAATAAAATTATTACACATTAATTCAACTTATATTTTAGAAGAGATTTTTCGTCAATTCGAAAAACCTTGTTAATTTACTTAATTGTTTTTATAACTCATGTTATCAAAATATTTTTACCAGACTTTATTCATAAATTGCTAGTATAAATAATATAGAAATATTACTTCTATGAATTTTATCATTACAGGAATAACAAACGAACTAACAAGCCATCAGACCATCGAATGGATTGTTAACTTGTTGGTTCGTTGTGAAATATGGATCAGAGTTTACATGACTAAACTTGCAAAGAATCTCCAAATTGGCACGACTAAGTGAGAAGTTTCATAGTCTGTTATTATATAAATTAAAAAAAAGTTTTTAAAAAGCGTAGATTTAAAAAGCAGGATTATGCTCACGTTTCTCCTAATGCCAAACTTATCTGGTACACTCTGTTGACTGACGAATGAGGCTCTTGCAAGCGAATGATGTCGGAAAGTCCATATAAAAACCCAAAACAAATTCTTAAACTGCTTTAGGTCTTGTGCGAGCAAGGGCCAGCTAATGACCGACAACGTATTAAGTATCTCTGCAGCGATCTCTGTTGGTCAGCTCAGTTGTAAATTTGAAAGTTGTGTGATACAGATATATAAAAAAGATACGTGCAGTAGAGATGCAAAGTAATTAAATTTGTAGCAATAGCAGTATACGCGACCTCGGCTCCTTTTTAATAGCACTGAATGACTGCTGAGATTATATTTTATTCTAGCCTTGCTTATGTAACAACAGCAAGCGATATTTTGTGATAAAAGCGTCAGTAGTGGTATCATTAAGGACACAGACTGCAATTCATTGCAATGTTGCCTTTAAACAACTTACAAAAAATTGATTTTTGTTTGATTGATAATTGTTATATTCTTTTTTCAGGTTTTTGGGTTTTTGTGGGCCTTTTTTTTTTTGTCTGCCCCCCCAAAGTTTTAAAAATTTGTCCCGCATCCCGGTGGCCCTTTTTTTTCCCTTTATATAGACTAGTGCTTAACTACAATCCTACTAATGGTAAGCGGTGATAAAACGCTAGACGAAAAATTTCACTGTATATATAATTATATAAGTATATTGAAAAAATATTTAAATATTTATATATTGAAAAAAAAATATTTCTATACGCTTGAATACTGATTCTGATAACGCAGTTAACGGGAACCAAAAGGGTTTTTGTTACATGTTGTATTAAGTACATATTACTTCCGATAATTTCTCGGCTTTAACCATCTCATGGATAGATTTTTTTATAGGAGAGGTGGCAAACGAGCGTACGGCTAACCTGATGGTAAGTGATTACCGCCGTCCATTAGCAACTGCAACACTCGGCCTTTTAAAAAGGAGTAGGCTCTTTTTTTGAAGGTCCCTAAGTCGTATCGGTTCGGAAAAATCTCTGGTGGTAGTCGATTCCACAAGGAAGTTGTGCGAGGAAGAAAATTTCCTTTAAATCGCACGATGATGGACCGCCAGTCATCCAGATGGTATGGATGATATCGTGAGTTTTCTCGCGATGTGCGATAGTGAAATTGTGCGGCTGGAATTAGTCCGAATAATAGATGTAAAATACCAAATTTGATAAAGACCACAAAATTTATTCTGGTTTCTAATCTTAGAATATTGTTTTTTTATTTATGTATAAATTAAACACAGATGTTATAATTATTAAAAAGATTTTTTTATTAATTTAAATTTAATTTCGCAAAATTAGGTAAGTACAGACATTCAAACATTTTGGCATAGTTTGAGCTTGGTTTGTTTATTTTAAAGTACTACTATAAAACAATCATATTATACAAATTTATTAATTATATAATTTATCTCTAAATTAAAAGTATAACTCTAACATGATGTTCAGATTTGAGACCATGGATAACGTTTTTACTACCATTATGGTTCCATTTTATTAAAACTCTGCACCTAAATTTAAATTGGTTCATTAAAACAGAAGTCATATACTTTATCGTTTATTGCCTTAAATTATCAATAGTATTAATAATTATTTGTAAACTATTTTTCGAGTTATTTACTAAATGAAAACCTATATTTACAATAACCGACTCGCAAGAGGCGAGGTGAACATCAATAAATAATTTTTTACTGTTCATTTTTACATTTTATTTAAGAATTACGATTAATTTAAATCAACACATATTCTTTACAATCACATTAACGACAGAATATGGCACGAGTTACAAGTTTGGCAATTAAATACATATTAATAAGATTTTGAATGGAACAGACATTTCTTCACTCAACGTTACAATGCATTTATTTTACTACACAACAATAAATATAGAAACTGCCTGCTATATAACATATTATATACACTGACCTACTTATAATCGTATGAAGAGATAATATTTTTCCATTTGACAGCCAGTACAAAATCACTCCGGCAAGAGAACATAATACTCGTATATCAAAGTTTTCATTAGTATTGTCTATGAGCCTACACATCGCTTGGAGACGAGGAGGCTGAATCCGGGCGCTAGTGTAGTTGACTTTTTGTGCTAAAACCATAGTGCAGGTATGGAGAACCAGCCCCGTCTCTGGTGCCTGTCGCACCACCGCCGCTTCCTGCGCTGCTCGGACATTTAAGCGCGGATCGCAGCTCCGAAGCCATTTCCGAACAAAGTGAAGCCTGGGCCCACAAATTAAACAGGGTAGATTTTGCTTATAGACAGATTACATAACGCTCAGAAAAAGTTTACCTCTTCTTTCTGAAATTCCCAGAGCAGCAATGAAAAACACAAACAAATTAATTGTTTTGTTCGTTGCATACGTAATTAACATGTACTTATGCATCTTATGAATAATATTATTACACGTGAGATTTATGTACAAAATCATAATATAATCTAGCGACTACCAAAATTATACAAAGTATTTTACCTATATAACGTACATTCAAAAATAAACCTAGAACAAAAAAACGAGTTTAATCGAAGCAATAACAAATAAAAAATAGGTACTCCACATTACATCAAATTTGAAATTATTAAAAAATCGCAAAATAGGAGTCAAAAATGTACATATATATTTTTACGCACCCGTTCATCCACAGCAACCTTCCTTGATTTCCAAACAAATTCGCAGACAGCTATGACGCACGCTACCCCCATACCACCCATAAGTACCACAAACACGCCGCCCACGTTTGCGAGACCCAGTTCGTTTGCCGTTGACGACGATTTTGAGGTTTCATCCTGATTAATCCAATCACGTTAATCGCTTCAGTTCTTTTAACAAGGTTAACATCGCTTTAGTGACCAAGGAAACTTTAACTGGTACATACTAAGTTTTTCTAGTTTAAAAACATGTCCTTGGTAGTAAATACATGTATGGTATAGTTAATGCAGTTTTGCAAAGAATTTTGATTTTGTTGGTAAATATCGCTTATATTTAATTACATTTCTGAAAGTAACGCTAAATAAGCCTGCAAATCTGCCCTAGGGTATAAATTTAATTGAGTAATCACCTAAAATAGTTTATACTGAGGCTTATTTTATGACTGGGAATAGGATATTACACCCGTTTTCAAAAAGTGTTTGAAATTAATCCTAGAGTTAGAGTTTAGAGCTTAGAGTAGAAAATTATAGTGGTTCATTAACAATGAGCCACTATAATTTTCATATATTATTTTTAAAACCGAATAGTGCCATAAAAATACTTTTAACCTATTGTTGTAAATTTTCACTTGAAAACGTAAGCCACCATGCTGTTCAACTCGTAACGTCACTGTCCTAGAATTTTCCGATTCCGCAAAGGAATAAGATACTTTTTAACGTTTAATGATGAGTTATCATCTGTATCATGGTTGTTTTGTGCCTGAATGCAAAAATACGACCCCACAAGAATAATGATGATAATCGTAATGACAACTTGAAAAATTTCTAAATAACACAGCATTGAATAAAACGTAAACATTGAATAAAACGTGCGTAAATTTAAGAAATCATTATGTGAACCAGTACGGACTGGTAATAGCAAATAAAGCGTAAATTTAAGAAATCATTATAACACAGCATATTAGCGTGTTCTCTTAATTAGTTACACAGAACACTAATAATACCCTTAGGCGGAATCAGTGACGTCACGAAAGTCCAATATGGCGGACAATTTTGCAGATTTGAGGCACAGCCAAAAAAATATTCTTAAAATTGAAAAATAAAATTTAAAACGCAATTTTATAAATAGAAATCAATATTTCTCGTTTATTTTTTACAAAATCTATCATAAATATTTTTTTTTTTTTTTTAGATTGTGTAAAATACCCTATTAAAAGTATTCTCCCTGATTCGTAACGCACCTATTTCTGCACTATGCAGTAGTGCGCTCACTACTGTGATCCAATTTGAAGCATAAGAGAGCCCATATAGTAAATAAAATGTGATTGCGTATTGTCAGTCGTTCTATACGTGTGGTCTATGGGTTAACTACACGCAGCGAGCGTACAGTTTACGGCGTGTTCAATACACCAAAGTGTTTAGGGTGTTCTTCGGTTTGTCGCGTTTTTGCAATTCGTTGGCTATGTTTGCCGAGGCACAAACTGATAGCTTTTATACAATCTTCCGGAAAAGAAGCGCCTCGCTGTTAAGACGTACGAGTATGCACAAAACTTCGAACAACACTCTGGTCGCACTGACAAATAAGTGGGATTTTTTAGTGCTAGGGCACTGGATTTATCTGGATCTCACTGGATTATACATCGGGCTTTCAACCTGCTCTCAGCCTACTTTATTTTAATTTATAGTGGTGATAAAATATCCATGGTCTTCGGATAGCGAATGAGGCAAGTATCCATATAATAATAATGTCATACAGTCCGAATTTCGGTCAAGGCGACCAGCCTCAACGGAGACTAGTCATGCAATAAGTGTACTCGTATCATGTGTATCTATATCGTAATCACGGGTGCACTCTCTATTCCTTCACTCTCATAGTCCGATGGGACGTTAAACCTACAAGACCGTGGAGAGTATTTCTTCACAGAAAAACTCAATACTTCAATTTTTTTGGGCTGACCCGGGATTCTGATCCGGGGCCTAATCCGGGTTCAACAGTCGCATTTACAACCACAAGACCAACGAGGCAGTCAAGTATCCATATAATGTGGTAGCCACTTACATCAGCTTGTTCGAAAAACTACAAAACACACACAACAAACAAAAACACACACGACAAACTGCTTATTAGAAAAATTACATAATATAACAAATGTAATTCAATATATTATTATTGTATCGTTTTTACCGACTAATCACATTAGCACTTACCCTGCACGAGCCTCCACCCCGTTTTTCCTTCCACCATTTTGTTTTTAAAATATGCAATTTCCCTTCTTCTTGTAATTTCAATACAGCGCCGCTAATAGCAGTTCGATAAGGAGAATCTAAAAATAGCAATAGACAAGTTATATAACGATGATTCTACTTTTAATCATCACCTACATTTATATAAAATTTAATGGTACTTCGCCCATAATAAATGTTGATGAGTAAATGTTACATTTTCTCACCACAACTTACAGTATAGCATTCATAAAAATTAGTTCAGTTAACATAGGTAACAATAAAAAAAATTGTAGGAGACTTCACAATTTAAAAATTTTCTTTTGAAATTCAGCACTAGTTGCACTCACTTATACGGCATACACTTGTACAGGTGTATAGCGTATGTGAAAAGTTAGATGTACGTACCTTTAGAATTCTGATATAACATTATGAAACAAAAAATTTAATTAAAAGAGCCATAACGGATGAAATATCTCTCTGTCCCTATTATAAAATATGAGAGCTGAAGAATATTTCTATGCGATGATTTTTTTTGAAAAAGAAACAAAATAAAACTTACTCGGTGGCATTGCGATTCCGTACCCTTTTGAATCTAACATTCCACCAACTTGTGTTAGGTCACAGTTTCTTTCAACGACATACTCGATAGTTGTTGACTCCATTAAGTACGCATAAGCGCCTTTGCCTCGCATCACCCTCTCCTCCCCTTCCTTATTGCTACTTGTAAATACAGAGGGTCTGGCTGATTCCATAAATGACCACATTCTTTGGTATGTCGAAAAGTTGGAGTCCTGAATTATAACAAAAATATTCAAATTAAAATATTATTAAAAATAATAAAATTGAATAAATCTGTTAAAGATATGAAAAGGATATTTTGATATAAGAAAATAGATTAACAGTTTGCTATCCAAAATTATATATATTATGTCAGAAATTAATATATGTACTTAATTTTTTTTTCACATTTCGATATTTTTTTGAAAATAGGGTGCCAGATGAGCACATAGTCCACCTGATGGTAAGAGGATGCTGTGGCCCATAGATGTCTATGTTTGTCCTCCATTAACAATCAAAATGCAGATGCGTTGTCATCCCTGAGGATCTAGATGGAAAGCCTCGTTTCTAGAAAAAGGGTCTCCGGTTGTCTACACTAACCATACGAAACACAGCAGTGTTAAGCTGCTATTTTAGTTTGGTATTCTGCGGGAGCGTCGTCCTACCACGTTCAAGCTGACCCATTCGTGATACCACCATGATATAACTGCAGCGCAGCGTGCCACTACCACGTATCATATCATTTATAAATACTATTAACTATAACATTGTTGATCATTGTGTCTACTTACCCTAAAGAAAGCAGCTGTAGAACCGCCTTTCAGTGCTCCATATTTTATTTTAGTCTGTTTAGCGAGATCCTCAGCGCTTTCAATAGGTGAGTCCATTCGTTCTACAGTCAGAAACGCCGCCAGGTTTGCAGTGTAAGAGGATATCATAATCAAAGTGAAGAACCACCACATTCCTGCCACCATTCGCGTAGAAACAGCTCTGTTAATTTAAAAACATAAATGAATGATATTCCACGTGTTAATAAAAAACTTCCCCAAATAATAAGAAAATATATTATTTAAATTGTTTTATTCTAAAAAGGTACTTACAATATTTAACAAATATATTGAAAGTTCTTTTAATTAAATTTCAATTAAATATTAATAAAAAAATAAAATAACATATCTTAATAAATTGAAATAATTTTGATTAGCAATGAAATTTAAATAAAAATATAGAAATAATTAGTCGATAGCTAATAAATTAGACTTGATGCAGCAAGCTGTCGATACATGATCAAAACGAGTGCAAAAATATGGAGTTTGAATTTATGTTAAACTAGCTATTTTAAATTACTCTCTAATGCTATTTTATAACAATGGCCGTTAAAACACGATATTTAAAACTGACTTAATGGATGACTGCCAATGCTTAATTTCCACAAAGGGCTGTGGTCGCTTTGAAACTAATTAGGGCTCTCACTTTGTAAATGAAACGATTTGCGTAAAATTCAATGCACAAAGTATAAGTTATTTTGTAGTATTTGTGGGGTTTGGGTGTGTGGTGTGGTGGGTTTTTGTTTTGACAAACTAGTTGCCTTATGAAGACAACGTACTACAACCCTTTGGGACAATACTGTTTTATCTAGCTGTAAACAATCAAATTTGGTAGCTATTTGAATAGCTATCGGTGTGAGTCAAGATAGACTTACTTCGGTGCGATATCCGAACCTTGCTGCATCAAGGATCCAATAGTGAACCACAGCGAGTTCAACAGAGTGAATTGATTCTCCAGGACAGGTGGCTCGTCAATACAGTTCCTGGGGCTGTCCCACTCGTAGGGGCTGAACCTGTGCCCAAATACAGACATTTACAATAGTCTGCATTAATGTAATATGTTGTACTGTACAAACTAGGACTGCTTCTAACACTTTTGGTTCGTGTATTATCGCATAACTATTATTTTTCGATATAACATACAACATATTTAATACATGATATAAATTATTTTAATGTTCAGAAGAGGAATGTGATACAAATATATTTTATTTCAAATGGACGATAACATGTTTGCGTCTGAGTTTTTTATCAATTTCAAACATTCTTGTCAAATTCGCTGAGGTCACTTAATATTCTAAATTAAAAAGCGCGTGAAGAATTCATGTAGTGAGCTTTCAACGTCAGATTGACTTTGAGTGCTTTCTTTTAATCTTACTTGGGCAAAAAATCACAACTCTGCTGCATTAGTGATCCGATCGCGAACCACAAGCAATTAGCCAAAGAGAAAACATTCTCCAATTTTTCTCCGTCCGGTGAGTGTGATGGATGCCATTCATAAGGAGTGAACCTAGTAAATTACCTTCAGATAATGTTATCAACTTAACAATATTTTAGTCTATTTTACATATACATATACCTGTTATTATTATATATATTTTTTAAAGTTACCTCTAAACTAGGATTTTCTATTGTATTGTGCAGGCATATTCCATAGATTAATTGCACGAGGACAAATATCCAGACCCAGAACAATAACATGTAAGCCATGTAAGTGCTTGTTCTATGTAGGACGTAAATCAACGCCGCAACTCAATGTTAAGCCACTCCTCAATGTTAAGGCACAGGCGGGGTCTCCCCTCATTTCTGAGAGGGTTTTAGGGCAAGGAAGTGTCCGCTGCACTGGCCCAATGAATTTAATGAACTTTACATGTCTCGAGATATTTTTTTTCATATTTTTCAGATATTGCAGGATTTTTCACGATGTTTGTCTTCACAGCCAAGCACGTGGTAAATTAGCAATTAATATTATTAATAATTAATAAAAAAATTATCTTTAACAATAAACATATATATATATATATATATATATATATATATATATATATATATATATATAATATGTAATGGGACAACGAGAAATACTAAATATGATTTCCAATATCTGAAAGTGCAAACATATTAATAATGTTGTGTTACGTAGTAGTTCCATTTTTAGTTATTGGGAAGGCGCTGCTGGCAACTCCTAGTACTCCCTCTGTCGCCTCTTACGATTCCCACGGGACTATATTGGGTAATGGATGTCCTTACATCACTACTTCTCGGTCAACACCTCACCAGGTCAACATCTTATGGTACTCAACATTCGATTATTTTGATACTTAGACATTTCTTGATAAGTTTTCGCTTAATCGCTATATTTTTAAGTAAAGTTAAATTCGGTTTGATTATAAGATAAGCTAAATTTTCGATTCAGAACACACAACTGCTTGACGACTTTTTCCTCTGTCAAAAGAGAAATTAAAGTGAAGTTACAGCAGTTTTAAGTATAAACTCAAACTTCCCTCCGCTAGGCAGCTACAATTAACAATTCTATGGGTCCGGGGGAGATCGAACTTGGGTTGATTTCGTACTCTGAATTTACGACGGGCGCTTAGGCGACGGCTTAATATCACGGCTCTTAAGTTGAAAGTATCTAGATTCTAAATCAATTATCAAAAATAACTGCCCTATGTCCTGTTATTCCTTAAATATTCATATTTCATATTTCTTGAAAATTTTATAAAATAATAGTTTTTGATTACTTACCTAGCGAGGATAAATAGAAGTACTGAGACTCCCAAATATGCGGTAGCCATATAAATCCAAACGTCAAGGGAAAGCGGTGACAGAAAGGAAAATAAGTTTGGCGGTTGTTTTATGGGTTTCCGGTATAAGACCGAAATGCCGAGATTCATGAAAGGCATCGTGAAGTCGACCACTTGTTCCCTGTTGGTATACAGAATGTTAAAAAAATATTCTGCTAGATTAGACGTTTTAGTAGTAAGTATTTTTAGTTTGTCTTGTAGATTTACATATATTCGATTTAATTATAATAGATGATAATAATAAATATTTAAAAAAAATATATTTAAATTGAAACTAGAAATCAAGTAGTAAATAAAAGTCTTTTTATAAATCAAAAGCAAATTATAAAGTAGCTAAAAAAATTATCTATAATAATCCATGAACAAATTACATTTGTTTTAAAGGAATTGAATTACCGGTCATATGTTATAGTTAGATCAGCTATTGCGACATCCGCTCTTTGTTCTAATAATTCCCTTATCATACCATCCCACTCTTTGGTTTCCCTGTTATACGATCCATATCGACCATCAGGAGCTAATTTGAACGTGTAATTGAAGCCTAGTACTTTTGATATTTCATGAATCAAGTCAATAGCGTAACCTTCAAACTGCGCATTGCCTATTAGTTTTTCACTAGCCTCTTTTCTCATACAATATGGCGCACTCTGGAGATAAAAATTAAAGTTGACTTTAAAAAAAATATTGCATAAAACTACTTAAATTAATATCGGATGTGGTTAAATTTTGTAATAATGTTTTATTATATTTAATTATTATACATAAGTTATAATTCCTACGTGTATTTTGATTCGAAAAAAAAATCTACCGAAATCGGTAAGCTGATAACGAAGCTAAAGTGTAATATGTATTTTAAAACTACAGTCAAATTGATAACTCTTTTGGTTAGTTAATATTTAAAAATTATTTTAAGATAAAGCATCCAAGTTTTTTCATTTCAATAATTGCTACACGATTAATCATTGAAATAATACTATTTTTTACGGAATTTATCGCGTATATTTTAACTTTTTAAATACCCGACGTTTCGAACGCTTTACAGCACTCATGGTCACGGGCAGGACTGAGATGTTCAACGTCCATATGTCATAGTTAACCGCGGTTACCATAGATTAAAAATTTTTTAACTTTTGTTTTTTTTTTAATCTATGGTAACCGCGGTTAACTATGACATATGGACGTTGAACATCTCAGTCCTGCCCGTGACCATGAGTGCTGTAAAGCGTTCGAAACGTCGGGTATTTAAAAAGTTAAAATATACGCGATAAATTCCGTAAAAACTAGTATTATTTCAATGTGTAGTGTTCGCGTAAATATAAGAAATCATTACGATTAATCATCCAAAATCATTTATTTAAGTATTTCTAAGTGGATATTTAGTTATGTGAAAAAATAAAACGTTTTTATGTAGAATTTTGCAATTACCAAAATCGTTGTCACGATAAGCGTTTTATTTTGTAGGATTTCTACAATTTGCTTCTGGTTGTCGCCGAAAGATCTTGTGTAATTGACACCCTCCGAGGAATTCCACATTCCCGCCTTTTGTAAGCCATCCCTTGTTAATTCAATTATGTCAAGTGTGAAATCGCTTCTAAATCCTTGGTGATCAAACTTTATAACACCTGTTAGACCTTTCATTTCAACCTATGATATTAAAATAAGGTAAGGTTAACTGTTAAAAGTCTAGCAATACACGGAAATTTCTACTTTTTTATAAAATCAAAACTACATCGAATGACCAATTAGGTTAAAAAGTATATAAAACAAAAATTCATAAAGTAACTTACGATCTTCATATAATTAATAAGACTGTACCCATGTGGCCAGGTATCTTCAGCATCGCAAGATAAAGGTTTCACGTCGATTTGTTGGGATGTATCAAGATCATGTAAAGCTTTTGCGAATAAATGTACAGCATCATACATGAGGGCTGTTTCCGTCTGTTATAAAGATAAAATTATAAGTTCATAAATGTAAATATAAAAAATAAAATAAATGTAAAATGAAATTCTGACGAAAATGTATTATATCATTGACTTACTTTAATGAAGGTCATGTTTTCCTAAAACAATAATAAAAAATATGAATTAACATTTTTCCCGTTTTTAATATCTTATGAAACATCTCGTGATTTATAGCTACCTTAGCAGAAGTGTGACCTAATTGTAGTTTACGACCCTTCCTAGCCTCATCGTATACCCAGTCTCGTACCACTCTTTGTACATCAGATCTCTCGGGGTCGAGTAATCTTAAGGCAGTTATATTTGTACCTCCATATTTAAATTCTTCTAAGTCAACGCTATGAAGGTCCTAAAAACATGCGATCAAAATATGAAATTCAAATATGATCCAAAATATAATTAAAAATAATTAACAGTATAAAACAAGTCATTTATGGTGTTACTTGTGTTAAGTTGATATTCAATAATCTAATATCTCACCAGAGATGTTATCAAGTAACTGTGATAATCTGACATCATGCCAATCTGCTGAGCTTGTTGGAGTACATCCCTTATTCTCTCAGTTGTGCAATCGAGAACAATGTGTGATTCTGCAGAGTTTTTAATTTGTTTCAGTAGTGGCCTACAAAATGAAAAATTACATGTTTCAACATTTGTATAAAACTGTAGAATAATATCAAACATAAAATTACCTATAGTCATGAGAATCCGGCAGTTGTCTAACTGCTACCGGCAACTCTGATGGTCCATGAGCTTTGAGAAGTTCTTGAAGCCTCACAAGCCCATCACTATTTTCGTATATAATTGTAAATGATTTCCATCCCCATGCTCTGACGAGGTCAACATACGCCTAAAAGCAAAGCCACTTCAGCTTAAAAATCAATGTATAAAATCACAAAGATCTTAACTGCAAGCAGCATTCTTAAGTGATAACTAGTATTTTATTATACATGGCGTATTAAAGGACTAGTTATGAAATAATTCGCAAAATACGTAGATGCGAACATATTGCTACCATCAATTTTATTTTATGTTTTCCCGGTAATTTTAATTTATGATATTTTTACATTAGATATCGGATGTGCTTGTTATGTACGTTGATATGTAATATTTAGCTTTCTTAAGGTGTGTTTTACTTTTAGATTGATTTTATTTTAACCTAACATACGTTTTACTTTAAGAAACGAGCCTCCCATTATTTCTGAAAAGATTTTTAGAACAATATTTGGTTGTCACATTTCCCCGAAATAATTTCTCACACATGCAACTTACTTAACTGCTTAACTTGCGCAACTTAAATCAACGCCTAAGCGCTAATTTATATTCCAATTTTAAAATGACAATATTCATTGGTGCTTGTGATCGAACACGGGTTGCTCGCGTAGTGAAAAAATTATGTCAAGCGCTTAGCCTCCCAGCTATCGCAGCTTCAATGGTCTAAAGCTAGCAGCAGCACAAGTAGTCTCATACTTCTAGCTTGTGTGTGGTCGTTCACAAACTAATTGCAATCACTGCATGGTACTGTTTCATAAAAATATTGATCCTTATCCCGGAGTATCAGAACCATGGCCTAATACTAGGTTAATTTTATAATAATTTCTTATATTTACGCGAACACTACACATTGATTAAAGCCACTTTTACGGATTTTATCGCGTTTATTTTTTACTTTTTATTATTTTTATTTTTAATTCCCGACGTTTCGGGTGCTCACATGATCACGGGGGACTGAGGTGAGTGACGTCCCGATGTCATTGTTAAACCCGGTACCTTCAGCTTTTTTAATTCTTGTTTATAGTCCGATCTATGCAAAATGAACTGATTATATCCTGAGATCTTGCAGTGGTATGCTTGGGTTTAGTTTTAATTTTATTGATTATAGGATCCCAAGCAGGTGGTAGTACCCAGCCTCCTTCTCCATTGAAATTAGGATGTTTTTTAATTTCAATAGCCTCACGTATCATCCTTGGTAGGAATCGGTGTTCTTTCGTGAGGATTTGTGGTCTGGCGATAAAATCCGTAAAGGTAGTTTTAATCAATAGGTTTATTTTTATTAAAGTACTAAGCAAAATTAATTATAATTACAATGCAAAGCATTACAATGACTTTTTTGATATATAAATGGTGTGCTGTGTGGCGAAGTAAATGAAGTATAACTACAAAAAATTAAAGCTATACAAACACTGTGTCACTTACTCTGCTGAGAGCGGCGGGATGTGGATATAAGTTGACAAGGCACGATTCTCGACGCGTGCGATAGTCCCATCTAGTCTCTAAGTGGGGCAGCTCCATCGTATCACAAATAGATTGTACGTGAGCCGCGGCAGGAGCTGATTGCGGTCCGAAAATTGCTGCCACGCCGCTTCGTAGAAGGTGGCATACTTAATAAAGAAATGTTATTAAATAGAGATTAATTAAATAAGGTGTATTACGAGCAGGTTTAACTTGCTTGAGGTATTAGCAAATTAATGTACAGTGACAAAGGTTATTTTGTCTTACCAGGTCGTCGCTCCATCTAGTGGGGGTCGCCCTATACTACGTCTACCGGTACGAGGCTGCCACTCGAGAACCTTTCTTCCCCATCGGTTACCGGTTCTTCGAGCTATATGGCCGGCCCATTGCCACTTCAGCTTACTAATCCGTTGGGCTATGTCGGTCACTCTGGTTTTACTGCGGATATCCTCATTTCTGAGTCTATCACGCAGAGAAACTGCGAGCATAGCCCTCTCCATAGCTCGCTGAGCGACCTTGAGCGTCCTCATACAGCCAGATAGATGGAGTGACGACCTGGTAAGACATGCAGGAAGTCGATGGATGCAGGTGGCTCAGGACCGTGCTTTGTGGCATTACTTGGGGGAGGCCTATGTTCAGCAATGGATGATAATGATGATGAACGTTATTTTGGTACTTTTATTTTTAAAGGTTATTTTGTTACAGTTACTTGCTGATGGCTCAGAAATAAAACGGGCAGTTTGAGGGTACAATTAACATTTGTAGTGACCTTACAAAGAAACGGTAACCATTTGCATTATGAAATAAATATGTTATGTTGGTGTTGACAACTTGGTGTACAACAAAGTTATATTTATTTATTATTATTGATGGTGTGATTGCCGAAATTAAAGGGTCAAGTTATCAAACTTCACGATATTTAACTAATATATTAGGTAATTGTTCACTTAATAAAATTATAATGATAATTGCATTAGTAATAATAATAATATTCCATGAATGAAATAAAGATTATTGTACATCAATAAACATCTCTACATAATATAAAACCAAATCGCTTCCTGCTGTGTGTACGCTTAGGTCTTTTAAATTAGGCAACAAATTTTGATGTTTGATTTGAACGAGTCCACTGCTAAACTTATGTCTCCCCCAAGGAATGCCACAAATCACGGTCCATCTGCATGTCTGCTGTCGTCACTACATCTAGTGGGGAGTATGAGGCTGTCACTCGAGAACCATTTTCCCCATTTCAGAATACTAATCCGTTGGGAATATTATAAATATGTACTAACAAATAAATAATATAAATAGCAATAAAAATAGGCTTATGTTTGACTTACCATCAGATATAGTAACATATAACAGACAAAAATAGTAAATGATCACCTAAATTAAACCCGCATTTTAATTTAATATTATAACCAAAGTTTTTATATCTTCCTATCCTATTTAAGCAAACTGACTCCAAAAAAATCATTGTTAACACAAAAATAGTTAATGAACACCAAATTATTAACGACATTTCAACATAAAATGACATGTAAAAAAATAACATATCGTTATCCGCTTAAAGTAAATTACCCTCGGCAAAAAAATATTTTGCCAAACATAGTAAATAAGCTCCTAGCCTTTTTGTCTCCGAATTGATTAACAACTACCAAAAAAAATTTCTTAAGCGTTTCGTTTATTCAAACATATACTATGCCTAAGATAAAAAATAAAACTTACAATTTCAATAATCCTTTTTTTTAATTATTTAAACAATCATAAAAAAGTTAGTCCTTTAAAACTAATAATAAACAGTTTAAAGATCTTAAAACTAAACTAATAATAAACATTTAAAAATCTTTAGAAGAACCAGTCTTCTGTAATAATTTACTGCACCATCAATGCTTTCTTAGCTTTGGCTGGTCGTCCTCTTATGCGCTTCATGCCAATCGGAATAGCTCTGGCCTCTGAAGGTGGCTGGACGTACTTAAGCCGAATCGCCAATCCAACGAGATGCTTGCAAATGTAATCTTTGAGAAACTTTGGGCAATTGCATGTGCCGTGTAACCAATTACCTTTTCTCGGGGCATTATAACTTCCCACTCTCTAAAATGTTGCTCTTTATATTCGTCAAAGGTCTTCCACGGCTTTTCACAACTTTTACAATTTAAATCCGACCCAGCTGGAATTCTGTATGAGCAAACTAGCTCAGTGCTATTCTTTAATGGCACCTGCTTCGACAGTTTTGCCCATTGGTAATTTAATATGGCATCATAATACTTTATTTAGTAATAAGCCTACATTTTATGGCAATCACAGTGGTTTATTTAGGTAGAAATAGCGCATTAATTTGCTCGCTAAGATTTGGTGATCATTTACTACATTTGGTGTTCGAATACAATTTTAAGTGCAGTTGTAACTAAAATAGCTAGTACTATCGTAATTTTAGGCTTTATTTTTCTGGTGTCGAGTATATATTTTTGGTAAAAGAACTAAGGGTATCAAAGCATTTTATGGTGGTGATTATATTTAACCCCATAAAAATAAATTAACGTAAGGACCCTCACTAAAGCTAAAACCGGTATTCAAAGACAATTACGAGGAATTAAAAAAAATAGAATAAGGCTGTCGAACGAGCACAAAGTCCAACTGATGGTATAAAGTTTCTGTGGAACATAGACATACCCATCTATCCTTAGTTAAGAGTCAAAATGCAGACACGTTGTCACCCCTAAGGACTAACATGAAATACCTCGTTTCCAGTAAAAAGCGTCTCCGTTTCTCTACACTCACCATGCAAAACATAACAACATTAAGCTGCTATTTTAAGCTCGTATTCTGTGAGAGCGTGGTCCTTCCCCGGTCGAGCCGACCCTTTGCTCGACTACGAATGGTCAAACTCAAAATTGCCAGTGTGTAAATCTGTTTAACATAGTGCGGTCTAGACTCAAATTTTGACATTGTGGAGTTTGAGCTTAAACTTAGTATCGTCTTTGAATACTGGCCAAAGACATATTGAGTTCTATCTAGGTATATCAAAAAACGAACATAGGTGTCTTAAGTATGTAATAAAACGGAATATAATTTGTATTATAATATGAAAAAAAACAATCCAATTTTCAACTAGTAAACTATCTATATACCAAAACTATATAGATACCAAACCTCGTTTGGAAGCGTGGAAGCTATCCTGGGGCGATATAGTTTCTACTTGTGCTAGCAACTTAGCTCTTGGTAAAACGGCTCTGTCTGCATTTACTCGCTCCACTGCGTAACGAAATGCTACTTCTTGCTTATCGTCTTCTGGGTGAAATAAGCCACCTGATAAGCAAGGCAAATTACAATTCAACAAAATAAAATAATTTTATAATGATCTCTTATTTTACAAAATTGAATATAACTAATTTTATGGATTTTATCGCGTTTTATTTAACTTCATTTACTTATTTCTAATTCCTGACATTTTGGGCCGTGTACAGGTAAAAATGTAAGTACTTTAAGCTAAATTAAACATGATTAAATCCGTAAAATTAGTTTTAATGAATATATATATATATATATATATATATATATATATATATATATATATATATATATATGGTTATAACATTTTATGTAAGATGGATTTAAAAGTATGTGACCCAAATCTTATTGTATTCTTACCTATTCTAATAGTGTCTGGTAACGCAGAGAGATGTCCAATAAATAAGATCAGGAAAAAAACCTTTGTCCCTCTCATTCTGTAAAAGGGCAATATAAATATTCATAAAATCTGGAGCCACGGATGCTCAGGGTATGAGCGCTCGAATTAAAATTTTCTTATAAATAGTACCCGAGCAAACAGAGATCATTACTCGCCGACACCAATGAAATTGTTTATATCAGTTTACAACCACATGCTAGGCGGATCATTAATACACTTCTAATTGTTTTCTGATCAGGATAGACAGAAAAAATTTGTGATATTAATGTACATCAGATTTATTCTATAGCTTAGAATAAATGTATTAATTTTTGGTCTATTCATGATCTACTTATTTTCATTACACGAAAAATTCCAACACTGGGCGTAATGCTTTTCTAATTTTTTTTATAGCATTGGGTGACAAACGAGCACACAGTCCATCTTATGGTCAGTGGATAGTGCCTATAGACATCCACATTTATCCTCAACTGAGGATCAAAATGCAAATGCGTTGTCACCCCTGAGGACTAAGATGGAATGCCTCGATTCCAGTAAAAAGTGTATCCGGTTTCCTATGCTCACTATACGAAACACAGCAGTATTATGCTGCTATTTTACGCTGGTGTTCTGTAAGAGCAAGGTCCTGCCTCGGTCGGGTCGACCCATTCGTGCTACAAATATAATAGGAATGAAAGTGAGCGCAAGTAATACGAAAGTGATGGTTTTTGAAAGAGAATAAAGTTAATCGTCATTTGAAATAAGAATAGAAGGGGAGTTGATTGAGCAAGTGGATGAGTTCGTGTATTTGGGATGTGTATTTAGCAGGGATGGTAGATATGATAAGGATATAGAACGACGAGTGACTGCAGAAAATAGAGTGAATGAGGCTCTACACTCTATTATAAAGAATCAAAATGTGTCAAAAAAGATACGTATGGTAATTCATAATGCTGTGTTAATCCCTACTTTAATGTATGTATGGTAGTGAAATTTGGGTGTGGCAGAAGAAACACGAAAGTAGATTAAAGGCTGTAGAAATGCGGTCTTCAAGGAGTATGCTAGGGTTGAATCTGAATGACGTGTGACGAGGATTAAGAAAGGAATGCTTCGGTGTTTTGGTCATGTAGACAGAATGAATGAGGAAAGAGAGACAAAGCAAATTTATATGGCAGATGTGAAAGACAGAGTCAGGAAAGGATGTCCTAGACGAAAGTTTATCGATTAAATTGGCGATATTTTGAAAATGGGTCACATTAGGAGTACCCTTAACCGACGAGCATGTATGCCTAGATATATGAATGTAAAGGAGGCGAGAGAGGTGTGTCAGGATCATTCCAAATGGAAGTCCGTAGTTTCTGCCTACCCCGCTGGGTGACAAGCGTGAGTGTTTATGTATGTTTTATTATGTAAATATAATATAGCTGCAGCGTGGGCCTACCACGTAAAAACAATGAAAAAAAAAAGGAATTATATAAAGTATTAAGAATTAGCAAAAAATTAATCTTGAATCTCAATCCAAATTCTCATCAAATACCATTTTAATTTTGTGTAAAACACATTGTCGTCGTTAATAGTTACCGGCTTTTCTATTCTCTTCCTTATTTTCGCACGCCAATTTGAGCAAATTAATTTCCATACATTTTTGAATAAAATTAAATTGTATGACACTAATTTAATTAAATTATATGAATTATAAATAGGTTTTATGTACCTTACTATATTATACTTCTCATCATTACCGCGCTATATATATATATATTCTGAGTAGGTACCACTCTCTCGCCTTTGCTCCAGTGTTCCAGTGTAAAGGGCATAGTCACAGGTAGTGAGATTCCATCAGTCCTCAGGGGTGGCAATGCAATGGGTGAATTAAAAAAGGAGGAGGTTTTTAATTCGATTGCATCTTTTTATGTGTGTTACCTCAGAACTATTTTGAAACTTAGGGCTGTTCATTAGGTTCCATTTAAATTTGATCAAGACCTAACTAGTAGTTTTTGAGTCATACTTAGGTAATAATGCGCATTTAATTGATTTTTACTAAACTGATGATGTTCTCATTTTATTTATATTGAAATCGGTTGTACAAAATTTTTAATTTTACCACCTGTTCATTATAAACTAAATCTTACACTATTAATATTAAAAGTACCTGGTTGACCGAGCTTTGCTCGGGATTTTTCGCTCGGTTTTTTTTAATTCATGTGTTTTGGAAATTATATTTAGATACAAATTACATACTGATGAAATACGAATAATATTTTTTGATCTTAGCGACATAATAGAAAAAACTGAACTAGTTATTTGAATAAAAAATCATGAGTGCAATTAGTTTAATTTAAATTTTCATGTTTTTAAAAAATTCTAAAAAAAGGGCTTGAAAAAAATAGATTTTCTCAAAAAAAGAAAGGAACTTGAAAAAAAAAAATTAAAAAAAGTCAGTCGATCGGTCCGGGCTCGAACCATGGTATTACGATTTTGTGACCGCCCAATATATCAATTAAGCTATTTGTAATGATTAACAAACTGTCAAAATTTACCTGCTTATTCTAACGATATTGTAGCAGTTTTTCATTGCTTAAAAACACGGACAAAAAGACATTTTCTAAAAATAAATCCTAGCAGGATCGATTTATTGAAACACCCTGCACACAAAGTTTTATGAAAATCGTTGGAGCCGTTTCCGAGATTCCGATTATATATATATATAAATATATATATATATATATATATATATATATATATATATATATATATATATATATATATATATACAAGAATTGCTCGTTTAAAGGTATTAGGATATATTATATGTAGCTAAACAAACTAATAAAAACAATATAAACATTGAGCAATATATATTAAATATAAAATCAGCTAAAAAACTAACATCATTAAAAAAACCTACAGTAAAATACAATATGTATATAATATGATCTTTGCTATTTTACTAAAGTGGCAACTAAATATGTTAATTTTAGCATGCACACGGTTGACCACATGACGAGCTCGAGTAAGTGGTGTTTTTACCAGGATATTAGTTCGTGCTGAAGGCACGGCGTGCAATGGCGGACGTCTGCGTCTCGTCACACAGCGGTCTGGCACACGGAGACTCAAGTGCCTCAGAACTCCGGAGTTATGAATGTGGGTACTCCCGGGTTATGTAATGAGCATTATGAACATAGGAAAATGCTTTTACTCATCTCCTGTTTAATTTCTCCCTGCCGTCTCTTACGACAACTACACGATGATTATAAATGATAAAATTTAATTGAGGTACCCATATATATTTATGTAAAAAGTGATCTTTTCAAAGTAGATGAACTAACAGTTATACAAAAACATGTAGGTAATAAAACTATAAATTAGAAGCATAATTAAATGGTTTTTATTTCTGTTGTGTTTGGAACAATCATAAAAACATTTTATAAACTGAAAAACGGAAGCTAATGCTTTTACATTAGCAAAAATGATACATTTTTAATTATTTTAATTAAGTGGCTTGCTGAATTGATGCTTGTCTTTTAAGCCATGTCTTCATTTCATTTAGGATTTTACTACATACCCTACAAATCATAAAACACATATTAAAAGTAAACCCCAGGCCCTGCAAGAATATGATTTATTGATATATTTATCGAATATTTAAATCTTCAAATAAGACATTTTAACTTTGTTCACGCCGGGTTCAAACTTGTACTGAATCAAGTTCATCTCCTTTGATTTTGTTTACAAATCGTCCTAACGATATTCCAAACCTTTTAAAATTACGGTCACAACCATTAAATAACCAAAATGGCATACTTACTCAATTGTATTTTCAGAAAATATTCTCATGCTTTAGTAAAGTCTATAAAATACTCATTCTTATAATGAAATATAAAATAACAGTCTCATTGACGAAGCTTAATTTCTCTCAACAAAGATTTGTTTTCTTAGGATCAAACACTCATTCGAATGAAAAATGGGAACGGTCAAAATTTTACATTGCTTTTTTTTAATTACACTGTATTATGTAATCTTGAAAGGGATTTATTATTTTTTGTATTTAGAAATAATTAAATGACAAACGAATTTATTCTCCCTGGTTCTAAGTGTAGAGCTATGATGCAGCTTTTTTAGGGTACTAGTACGAATTTACTCGGTAGCGCCATGCTGCAGCTATATTATGATTGTAGCATGAGTAGGTCGGTACGACCGGGAAAGTACTATGCTGTTACCAGCGTAAAATAGCAGCTCAATGCTGTTGAGTTTCATAAGTTGAGTGTAGAGAACTGGAGACCCTTTCATCAGACCCATCTTAGTTCACGCGGGAGACAACGTATCTGCATTTGAATTCGTAAATTGAGGGTAAATGTAGATGTCTATGTGACATAGTAACCACTTAACATCAGGTGGACTATATATTTGATTTTTAACCTTTTTTTGTAGGATAGGGTGACAAACGAGCACACAGTCAACCTGATGGTAAGTGGTTGCTGTGGCCCTTAGACATCTACATCTACCCTCAATTACAAGTCAAAATGCAGATGTGTTGTAATCCGTGAGTACTAAGATGGAATACCTCGTTTTCAGTAAAAAGGGTGTCCGGTTCTCTACACTCACCATACAAAACACAGCAACATTAAACTACTATTTTATGCTGGTATTTTGTGAGTGCGTGGTCCTTCCCCGGTCGAGATGACGCATTCATGCTTCAACTATACTACTAATATAATTGCCGCATGGCTCTACCACGTATATTATATTAAAAGTAGCTACTGTAATCCATGAACACATGCGACCAGCTTCAAACAAAGAACGCTACAGATGCGTTGTCACCTATGGGGACTAAGGTTGAATGCCTCACAGTCTGTTATTACACTGGCTCTTTTTACCATTAAGACTAGAACAGATCGGTGCAAGCAATGTTATCTTGCGGCAGAAATAGTTAAGATGGTACCTGCCCAGTCCGTTTGGGCATCTTTAGACAGAAAAAGAATCCCACCACGTAATGACTGGAGCACAAATGGGTCAGCGCAACCGAAAGCTGACATCCTCTACAAACAAACAATAATAATAATGTTCTACAGACCGAGTTTTGGTCATGGTAGCCACAGGACAGGATTGTAGTGCCTAAATGTATGCCTAAGCACATGTGCACTCTTTTCCCTCACACTCATAGTCTGATGGAACGGTTATCCGACACGACCGGACCGATATTAGGCACAGGACCAACAGCTTTACATACTTTCCGAGGCACGGGGGTGAAACACCAACTGCCAGGCTCCAGGCTGCTATTTAGAATTACGACCCGGAATTCGAAGTTGTGATCACATAATCACTAGCCGCACTAATGACCACTGGGCTGACGGGGTAGTTAATTACAATAATTATAAAAATTACTTATTGGGTTTTTCTATCAAGATATTCACAGTAGCATCCCGGAGTCAAGAAGATGGCGGTCTTTTACACCCGTGCCTTGGAAAACACGTACTATCTACTATATATAGTACGTATATAGGTGGATAATGTGCTCATTTGTTACACTTAGGTACTTATAAAAAATTTAACTAATTAATAAAAAATTGTTCACTTCATTTATTGTATAATGAGAAAGGTTATTTTTGTCACTGAAGCGACCCAGGATTCGAGTCTGGGACTTTATAACAACCATTTATAATTTCGCCTGCGCTGGTACCTTCACTTTTTTCTTTCGCCAAACAATAATGGTCCCTCTGATTTCAGTTCCAGTTGAAAGCGTAATAGTAACCATTCACGCTAGGGTGCACCTGACAGATTTACCCATACAGTTGAACTGTACAGGTAAATGAGAGCGTGTATGTTACATAACCGCTACGTGTATATCTTCTAATCAGCTCAAGCTTACCTGACGAATGTATATGTACAGGTAAACCTAGCAGGTACAATGTAGCGTGAATGGCTATCTTTAGAGAGACAGTATTATATTATACAGGTTGTGAGGCACTCTATCGTAGTTCCGGTGAATGAAAACGAATTTGTAGCCTTCTATCTTCGAAACCAGGTAAAATATCCATGGGCTTCAGTAGCCACTCACTATCAGGTGTAATTCTTTTTTTTATTTGATAGCTGGTGCTTCTCTTGTGATCTCATATAAAATCAAGATCTGACCAGTAGTTTTTGAGTTATCTTAATAATTGTATGCATATTTAATTTACTTCCAATACATTGATCGTCCTTATTTTATTTATATTGAAGTTCGGTTGTACAAAATTTTTATTATTTTATCATTTGTTTTGCACAAGTGATAAAATTTAAAATTTTGTATCATAATCAATAATTTCGACCTATCTAATTATTGTTTACTTAAATACAAAACAATCAACAATTTACTTTTCAGATACATCAACTGTCTCGGGGAACTTGTTGAACACTCTGTTACCCTTCCTAAGTATATTATGCACTGGTAGTATGGTAAAGATCTGTTCCTATTTAACGTGTCAATTTAAAGTAATCAAACGTGTCATTATTATCTATTCTCAAAAGAGAACCTTCCTCATTTTTTATACAAGCGGGGACAAACGAATATAATTTAGCTACGTTGTAATAATATTTATTAGAACAAAACTGTGTTTGTATGTGGGGTGTTGAATATTTATAGTTCAAATATTTCATTCACAGATTGTTGAATCTTCTATGTTTGCTGCTGAATTTCAATGCAGTAGTCTATTCATCATATTTTAATGCGTATCTTGTATTTTACTTCCTTGATCCGAAATCCCAAGAATATGCCTTTCAAATTTGTTTAACAGTGAAAAATCACGTCTACGTTCGATAAGCTAGTATTGCCAATGGGCTATTTTTAAAATTTTGAGGCTTTCTGAACAAAATATAGTTTATAACAAATATGTGATTTTCAATAAAGCATCAGCGTAGTTAGTTTAGTCAGTAGACCCGTTCGTGGGTCGTTGGTATTACTTAATGTGTTTAATAATATCCGCCAACAACTTTGAACATAGTGTTCCGAAGAACTACCAGTTTGAGTGTGACTGGAGCTCTATACATCTGATATGTCCCTGTTTATCTCAATATCTACGACTTGGAAAACAGTTCTGAAGTCTTTAAGAATTTGCTAATGTTATAATGCCATGAGTATACGTGTTGCACTATACGAGTCTCTTTATTGTTGAAAGACAATAAAAAACGTTACAGGCAATGAAATTCCAACTTCATACAACATCACCAATATTGCATAAAGTTTCACACGTTCGATTCCAAATTATTTTAATATTAAAGTCTTATTTGGGTAGTTTAAACGTATTTGTACAAGTGAGTTTTCAATTATACTTTGTTTATCACGCTTATTCATGAACCAGCTGTCGAAAGCGGTCAAACATGTCCTTGTAAAATATACATTGTGAGCACTGATACTTTTGAAGAAATGGGTTTTTTCATAAATAAATTATAACCGTTGTACAATTACTTAAATTCAATCTTAGTTTTATTTGGGATCGTAGACGTAGATATAGCAGCAGATTGTTTATGAATAAATTTCCGTTTTTAAAGGATATAACTCAATAAAAGGAACAAATAAACATATAATAATATAAATATGTCACACACCATATATTTATAAAAGTGATTTAGATAAAAGGGCACACAATTCACCTGATAGAAAGCGATTGCTGTGGCCCACAATCACGAACATCACCTCGAAGGACTTAGATGGAATTCCTCGTCACACAGTAAAATGGTTTTCTGTTTTTCGCCACTCTTCATATTAACACGGCAATACTATATTATATTTTAATATAGTCAATTTATATAGCTTGAAGATAATTACAACTAATATTTCTCTTATGATCAATCTTCAAATATTTCAAATTACGGGTCAATCGTAAAAATAAATATTACATTAATAATACTTGTTGTAAAAATATCTACAAATATTTTTATACTAATATTGTATATAATGACGGACTTACCTGCACAGATTAATTCCTTTTTTTACATATTATTTCCAATACTTCATTGAAGAATATCAAACAAAAAACTACCTAATGGATAAAGGTTTAAAAACTGTATCAGGAAACACCAATCACTAACACCAATCACAGGATAGAAAAAAGTATTTCTGGCAATATCGTGGCAATGTAATATGTAATATTAAATATTTCAGCGAAGAGATTGCCAATAAACTTAACAAACAACGTATGTTATAAGTTTTTATTTGTTTTTATGCAATGAATCTAAAACGAATACAATATTTGACACAATTGTGTTTAGAGACGCGATATTTTTGGCCAATAAAACAAACGGCCGGCTTCTTTCGTAGCGTAGACAAGCTGACGCTGGCAGGGATGAAGCGCAGAAACCTTATCGCGCTTGCGCGCTTATACCCAGCCACTGTGATTTCCATCTATATAGACTAAGTACAGGTCTATGAATTATAAACCTTATTGCTTGCCTCCTGGGACTCATTCTATTACCTAAGGGTAAAATCAGTTTATGTAGTAAATATACACGAATAATGAAATGTGTGGTCTGGGTCGCTTTATAAAACCCTCATTAAAGAACTAATTACGAGATGTGATTGGATGATGAACTATTTTATGAAAAATTCGAAGTAAGATAGGTCAATGAAATGAAAGTTAAAAGTAGGTATATTAGGACTAGCGGCATTGATGCAACGTTATATTGCGGCGTTACACTTACTTTACTAACACATTTCATACATTTATATTATTCTATATTTATGATATAAATACATTTTAATATAATTATTAATTATTTAAAAACGAGCTTAATATGAAGAAAAATTGATCATGACCTCTTTTTAAAACATTTATTTTGATTGAATTATTGCTTAGAGTAATTACATACATACGAGAATCGACAATTGAGAATCAAGACGTTGAACGCCTCATTCTTCCATTTCCCTCGGTCGCACACAAAGAGGAGATTTTAAAATAATTTAAAATTAAACACGGTAAATCCCGTAAAATTTGTTTTATTCAAATAGTCGTAAAATGTTTAATCCGAAACACGTAACAAAATATTAAAAACGATGAGGAAACTGTCTACTGGATGGCTGATTATAATAGTACCTACCACCCCCTCTCGCACGCACCCCGCAGTCCGTTGAACTCGCGAGGATTTCGTGTCGTCAATGCAAATTGTCTTTTCATTATTCACGCCGCGATTATTTCGTCTTTTGACGTAACAACAATACGAGCATGCGTAAGGGAATGAAAGACGCAGTGCTAATTATGACCTAATCTGCGCAGTAGTGTTACTGGAAGCACTACTAGGGTTTAAAGGAAAGCGTAAGGTTTGCAAGAAAATCTATTAAATTTGTTTCGTTGTCTTTTTTTATCTGCCACATAGTATTATCTTATTCCTTTGTATCTAACACACTTTTATTATTAAATAGGATTGTTTGAATGTAACTATGTATTCATGTAATAATTTATGTACGTATGTACGAATATAATTATTTATAAAATATTTATTCGCTTTTACGCGTCTGAATGTTAAAAAACGATGAGCGTACAACAATCTCATGACTTCCTAGTATTATCACTTGGATCATCATTTGATGATGATGATGAATTGATATCTACATTTTTACGTGCTAGAACCAAGCTGCAGCAATATTATTATGATTGTAGCGACTCGATCGAGGAAGAACCACGCTCTCACAAAATAGCAGCGTAAAATAGCACCTTAATGCTGTTTTTCTTATGGTGAGTGTAAAAAACTGGAGACCCTTTTTAATATAAACGCATTCCACCTTAGTCCTCAGGGGTGTCCACGCATCCGCATTTTGAGTCTTAATCGAGGGTAAATGGACAGTGTACTGTGAGCTCGTTTGTCACCCTTATACTATAAAACAATATTGTTTAGTGCGGAATAAAAATTAAATTAATTACGAAAATAACTATCAGAAGCCTTTGCACAATTTGCATTATATTTTGAGAGGAAATAAAAATGAAATATTTCGCGCCATTTAAGTAAAACGGATACAAGTGGTCTTTGGTCTATCGAACAAAATCGTCTATTTTCTATACCGGTGTAATCCCTAAGAAAATTTAATATAACTTTTATGTTAGGTCGTCAAAATGCGTTAATAAAAATAGTTTTATTTTTTTCTATGGAAATATTATAGGATTGACACACTTCTTTATTTCACTTAAAATTGATATTGATTCACTAAACTCATACATGTTGATACTAAAATCATTGGCATTAATGAAACATATAAATAATGAGATATATTTCAAAATAATTATAATTAATATTGACGCAGAAAATAGTTACAAAAAAAGGATAAAAAGGCAAAGTACCAAGACATCGTGATCGCATGCGATTGTTCCTCACAATCACTACGTTATGACGTATTTCTTTTATTAATTATTTATTTATTACTTTTCCAAGTTTCCTGGTAATAATGTTTTAAAAAAGAATAATATTATTTTAAAAGTTTTCCATACTTGCAATATTACCACATTAGAGTTACTATTGCGTTATTTTGGTACCATCGTAGTTTGTATATTGAGTATATGTATACTTGTTTTAAAAATATACTAATTATTACAATTTCACCCTGTATAAATTGACCTTTTTATTGTTATAAAAATAAAATAAAACAGAGTGGCGTCTTAAGGGTTAGATATTAGCGGAGAGAGTTATTAGGCGCTGAGTCCTTTCTAGCGTGCGGGGTGTTTGGCGGCAGTGACAAACAAAAGCTCTTGTGTATACTGCGCTGGATGAATGCCACTCAAGTTTTTTTACCACACATATTTCTCCTAGCTCCTCCGCATGCTTAAACAGAGAAGGCACACATTTTCTACTCTATGAATTTAGTAAAATAGCAGCGAGAGGAATAATATGCATTAGAAAGTGTTCCTTTGTGTAGATTATATTTATTTAATATTTTCTACGCTTCAGTGTTCGTAATCACTTTAACAAAAGTATTGAGTAAGAGCTACTTTTTTTTTGTTTTTTTTTTTTATAGAATAGGCTGACAAACGAGCACACAGTCCACCTGATGGTAAGTGGTTGCTGCGGCCCATAGACATCTACATCTATCTTCCATTACAAATCAAAATGCAGATGCGTTGTCACCCGTGAGGACTGAGATGGAATGCCTCATTTTCAGTAAAAAGGGTCTCCGGTTCTCTACACTCACCATACGAAATACAGCAGCATTAAGCTACTATTTCACGCTGGTATTCTGTGAGAGCGTGGTCCTTCCCCGGTCGAGCCGACCCATTCGTGCTACAACTATACTACTAATATAACTGCAGCATGTCTCTACCACGTAGATATTTCAAGAATTGTGGTCGTATTGTTTAAATTTAGTAAAATTACTTGGCAGCTCATGATTATTTTAAAAGAGCTATCTTCTGATATCACTCTAGATATGGAGAATCGATACACTAAAAATAAATTAATAAGTATTCCTTATTATCAACCACCAAACCTTTTATATAAAAGGGATGTTGTTCATTGACACCTGCAACCCACATCTATGATGTGGGTTGCAGGTGTCAATTAAGGGTCAACATTCAGATGCTTTGTTACCTCTGATGTTTAAGATGGAATGACGAATTAATAGTAAAAATGTTCTCGGTTTTTTGACACTCACTACACGAAATATAATAGCATTTTGCTGCCATTATATTTGGGGGGGGGGGGGGGGGGCTTTTTGGGGGGGGGGGGGCTTTTTTTTGGGGTTTTTGTTTTTTCAGGGGGTTATCACCTTTTTTTAAAAAATTGCGTATTATACGCGGGCGTGGTTCTTACCCGTTCGAGCTACCATTGCACCGTGGTACTACTTCATAAAAATCTATCCTGTATAAGATTATGTAACATATAAGGACAAAGAGAAATAACAGAAATAACTTTTACGGATTTCTTGTATGACAGCGGAACCCCAACAAACCGAATACAATGTTCAATAACTGTGTTTTCATACACTGAAAGTAAGCAAAACTCTCAATATCAATACGAGTACAGTAAACTTTTAAGGGGTGTTGTGTACCAATTGTGAGCTGGCTCTTCTCCAAATCAACCTTTAACGTATCTGTATGAAATTTTTCGTGTTACGAGTTTTATATCTGTATGATTATTGTGTCCAAGCAATCTTCTATCGTTATAAAAAGTATATTTTATTGTCATCAGTTTCCAAAAAAATAAAAAATAATATACCTATATTTTTTTAGAGAATTAGGGTGACAGACGAGTATACAGGTCATCTGTTAGTAAGTGACTACTGTGACCTATAGACATATGTCTACATCTTTTCTCGAATAATAATCAAAATGCAGATGGTTTGTCACCGCTAAGAATTACGACGAAATGCCTCGTATGCCGTAAAAAGTGTCTCCACACCTCACTACATGAAACACCGCAGCATTAAGCCGTTTATTTTACGCTGGTAATCTGTGAGAGCATGGTCCCTCCCCGGTCGGGCCAACCCATTCGTGCTACCGCCATAATATAGCTGCACCATGTTTCTATAATTTTAAAGGATTTTTACGCATTTTTATTGACGTAAGTGCAACAAAAGAGATCACAGTCTATCTGGGTAAAATCTAATCAAGAATATCTATCCTTCAAGAATCAAAATGAAAATGTGTTCTCATCCCTGATAACTAAGATGGAATACCTTGTTTCCAGTAAAGGGTTATGCAATAATATTCCTCCAAGTTAAATGCAGCGTACTTATAGGATTATTTCAAATTCCAAACAAAACAAAAACAAATTTCCGTTTGCATTTATTTTAAGTGCAGCAAATAAACAAATAAACAGTAAAATAGTTTTCTCTTACATTAAGATAAACTGTAAATAGTTTTCTGTGTGCATATGTATTTAATTTTACTTTTTATTTAAAAAAGCACGAAATGTAATGTAATATAGGAACGTGGAGCCTAGTTTCTTAAATTCTCTAACGAGCTCGGAAAATATTTCGAAACGGATGCCAAAGTCTCGATGTTATGTTTTGGTATGCCGTCATATTTCTTTTCTACAAAGTTTTTTGTAATATCAAGCTATCTTTATCTATATATGATCCTATTAAAATTTAAATTATTATACAAGTTTATAATTTAGCTCTGCTTATATTATATTAAATTGTTTCATTTCATAAAAGATGGCATTTTAAGAAAATATCAATTTTGCCGGAGAGTCGGAAGAACAGGGTCTCTTGAGACAATATACGTGTTTCAGTAAATCACTCTGTCGTGAAATAAATCATTTCTGCATTGTCTCGAGGATGTCGCAATGAATACGTCGAGGAAATTTTAACAATGGGTGGATGAACGCAGTCCCTTCCTTCTAGGAGACTTGTGCTAGATTGTAGTTTAATTCTTAAGAACAAATGTTTACCTGAACCAAACTTTTATAATTCGCGTTTTATATTTTTGAATGCGGAAGAGTCCTATTATGGTGACTACATGAATGGGTCGACTCGTCCGGGGAAGCACCGCGCTCTTAAAGAATACCAGTTTAAAATAGTAGCTTAGTACTGTTGCGTTTCGTACGGTAAGTGTAAAGAAGACCGAAGGAGTGACAATACATCTAAATTTTGATTCTTAATTGAGGATAGATGAAGGTGCCCATAGGCCATAGCATTCACTTACCACCAAATATTTAATTATTTATACAATAAGAGTGACAAGAGCTCTACCAGCTCTATCAGGATTATTATTTATCAAAGAATCCAAAAATATCAACCATATTTTCACGAGTTTAAATAAAGACGCACCACATCAACAGATTTTTTAAATCTAACTCTGTCAAAATCTTTAGATGTGATAAGAGATTTCCTCATGTCAAAACGGAGATCCAAATATAAAAATGAATGTGTCTTAGCAGTAATTACAATAATAAATTTAATGAAATTTTACATGTCGTAAATCGATTAAAAAACTGGCGATGATTTATATTTTAAGAGTGCTTAATTATTTTTAGAGTTTTATATGTCTTATTTCTAAATTTATCACACAGAGAAACCCCGAGCATAGCTTTGAAGATATCCGCATTAAAACCAGAGTGCCCGACTTAGCCCAACGGATTAGTAAGCTGAAGTGGCAATGGGCCGGCCATATAGCTCGAAGAACCGACAACCGTTGGGGAAAAAAGGTTCTCGAGTGGCAACCTCGTACCGGTAGGCGAAGTGTAG